AAAAAAAAAAAAAAAAAAAAAAAAAAAAAAAAAAAAAAAAAAAAAAAAAAAAAAAAAAAAGACAAAAAGTTTGCCTCTACGGTTTGCTATTTTGTATGAAGTGATTACCCATGACTTGAACTCCTGGGGCCCATCAATATACCATCCTTATTTGCCTCCAAAGCTAATACAGTGCAGAAAGAAACTCAGTTTAACAAGATGAACAACTGAATGAATATGTTTAAATGTACAAATATTATTTAATGGAGTAGACTTATTGAAATTCAGGACCTGTGATTTATTTAAATTAAAAAAAAAAGACAAATCAAATGTAAAATTGTTAGAGTAAATGTTTTGGCTGCAATTTATGAATAACAAGCAGGTTTTTATATTGTCCATCCGAGATAACTAGCAGCACTGGAAAGACTCATGCTCTCAGAAGGTTACTAGCTTGGAAGCATTTTAAAAAAAGTGACAAAGAAGCAAATTTAGCAATTAATTCTGTGGATCAGAAAGATATACTCAAATTGATCTGTACAATAAATCTTGGAAAGAAAGTTTTCCTGGGCAATTTTAGTTTTTAAATCAATTAGTTGAGAAAGAACAGAAGTAATGCCAGACCACACCCATGTAAGCCAATCACCAACACCAGAAGGGAGTTCTGTGACCCCTGAATGCAGGGGGATTGTACCTGCTGGCCTTCATGTGGCTTCGATAGCCATTTCGTGCCACTCTTGTCACCGGGCCGAGAGAATGGTATAATCTGTTCCTGTTGGATTCCATTATAAATTGTATATATTACACACACTTTTACTCAAACAGTTATCACCAACCTAGAATAGTATAATCGTTTCTTCATTTAATAGCTTTCTAAATCTTGCAATAGATAGTGTGTGACTTTTTGTTGTTGTTGTTAAAACATACAGCATAGATTACAAAAATTTTTTCCTTCTACCATTGACTATAAATACTCATAGGTGTTTAGTTCATACCATATACTTATATATACATCTACAAATCTACTGAATTAAAGAACTACTTATATTCAAACAATTAAAAAACCTGAAAAATCTTCACAAGCGCTTTAATTTTTATTTCACTTCTTAAATATGCCTAGATTTATGTAATTTTTTAGTATACATGCCTATGAAGACATCTAGAATGATGTGACTTGTAAATTTAAAACTATTGAGTAAATCCTTATCTTCCTTCTTACTAAATCAAAGAAAATTAATAAAGGAGATGAACTGGGTAATATATGTGAGTATTTATTTTATTTCTACCTCAACTGATGAAGCCAATAAAATTAGCACAAGTTAATAGTTATCCAAAATAACATGTAATGCTTAGCAAAGGAAAGAAAAATATACGCATACAAACACTGATACTTTTTTGCCTGGGAAATACTCAAAGTAGCACTGTTGGATAATATTTAAAACAGAAGCACTATCTTAGCAACTTAACAACGTATCTGAAGACTCCCTGGGAAAGAACAGAAAACGAAGCGTTAACATTGAGAGTACTATTTGCAAATTCACTGTCCACAAGCAGTATTTTAAATCCTGGTTTTCTATCCACTTTTTAATATTTCACATCTGAACCTTGCTGGGCAGCAATCATTTCACTGTTCCTGAAATGTTCCACTGATTTAAACTTGGCACAAGCACAGTAGATTTTTAGCTGCAAATGTTCACAAAGCAAAACATTTGTCATAAAAGAAAAATACTGTTTTGAGATGTGATGGTAACACTGCTCAATACTGTCTTCATAAGTAACCTGCTGGGATGAGAACACATTATTTGACAAGCACCATTCTGCTTGTTTACTTGGAACGCAAGCAATCTAAAAAACAATCGTGTTAATCAATATTTTAAAGATTGCAATACAGTCTATAATCAGCATCTGACGGTATTATGCTCTTTCAAGAGGGAAAGACAATTTATATAAATTCAGATAGCTTGCCAGAGACAACTCATGTTTTTCCCATTTCAGGCAAACCCAAACAAAGAGACTGAAAGTAAAGGTTGGAGGAGAAACAGTATATAAAAACAACTGTTCAGAATTCCCCAGAACCAAAAGAACAAAACTTGGAAACACTGATAATTATAGTAAAAAGGATCAAAAGGACTTTGAGATATAGGGTCAATAAAATGAAATCTTAACCACATGATGGTGAGAAATCTTCATGAAGTTTCATCAAGAACAAGAGGGTTTAATTTTCAATTTAACAGCTTGAAATGGACCAAATTCAAATATAATTTAATTCTAAATTGTTGTCTACTAAAAAGTGACTGACGGGGATTAATTCAATATTTTCAACTATAGTTTTAATATGACATGAAACATTCACAAACACTCTTGTGCCTTAGGAACATAATTGCTTAGTTTATATACAAAAGGGAATAATTATTTTGGTCAGGGGTCACATATCTTGTGAATCTGAAAATGGCAGAAGTGAAATGGTCAGAGACGATGTAAGAATCCTAAAGGACATTTAGTAAATAATCGTGATTTGGCTGTTTGGCTACATTCTTCGGAAGATCTTGTGTGTGAAGATCAATACAGCATGAAACTTGCCACAGGAAGATGATTGTTTTTATATTTTAAGTTAACAAAAAAAGGAGAAGGAAGTATGACTACAGTATTTCATTATAAATTTATATACTCCGTGTAAATTCTGAGTTCATGACCATGCAAGTGCAAACTGCAAGTTCTTTTACTTACAGTATAATTTAAAATTTAGTTGTCATTATCCCTTGACAAAGCAACAAGGAATAAAGATGACCATTCTACCAAATGCCTCAAAATTACTTAAATGAACAAGAACTTAAGAAAATAATTTTATTTTTGAATACATAAGTAGTTAAGCTATAATTAACTATAATTTCAAAAGTACAATTGTAAATGTATTCAAGTTCAAATAAATGTATCAAGTCACCAAATAAACATATGTAGATAAGCTGATCTTCTTGTTGCTTATAATTCCAGATGTAAACATCAGCTTTTGATTTCTTCTAAATTGTCTCTTTGGGTTTTTATCTCTTAAAATTCCTATTACCATCTTGCCTATCTTAATTAGACAAACTCAGGGCTGGCAGGTTGCGTGGTGGTTAAGGGCACTGGACTCCCACATGGCCAACCACAGTTTGAGTCCTGGACCTGGTGGCTTGCTTTCCCAGTTTCCCTGTCTCTCTCTTGCTCTGTCCCTCTCTGGTAAAATTAAAATAAATAAAATTAAATAAAATAATTAAAAAAAATAAACTCAATGTGGTTCATATGGACAATTTCTCTTACCTTTCAAAAGCAGGCCATGAAGTCTCTTCACTTAATTCAGAACCATCACTGCTACCTAAAATAAAAAGTGATTCTCTTTTTTAAACATCACAATTACTTTTTCTTGCTTAGATTTTATATTTAAAAAATAAATTTCTAACTATGCTCATAAAATAGCAATTACATTATGGGTGAATATCCATATATTAATTCTTTATTCTAGCATTCCTGATACTAGATTTACTTTGAAATATATTAAAAAGACTAGTTAAAATACCAAGATGAAATAAAATGCTTTTGTATGGGAGCCAGCAGGTGGCATGTGAAGTTCTGGACTCCCACATGGCTGACTGTGGTTCAAATCCCAGACCTGATGGCTTGAAAATCATGCCAAGAGCATATGTGTGTGCCCAAAATCCTGAGAGGAGGATGGAGAAGGGATTGCAGTATGGCCATCTCATTTGGGGGTGCTTTCTCACTTTTCCTCTTGTTGTCTTTATCTTAAGAGTGCACATGCCCTATGGCAAAAACCTTAAACAACTTTTTTTGCATACTTTATAGTTCAAATTCATTATATTAGTAATTTTTCTACCATCAGAGACTGTAGACAGCACATAATTCCTCTTATCAGATTTGTCATAATTTAAAACCAATATAATTATGAGTTCTTTAGAGAGAATATTTGTTCCCTTTGTATTAAAACCCATTACTGGGACCAGCAGTTGGTGTAATGGCTCCGTCGCCGGACGCCTATGTAGCTGACTGCGATTCGAGTCCTGGACCCAGTGGCTTAAACTCATGCCAGGCACATGTGCGTGTGTGCCCAAGATCCCGTGATTTCTCTCTTTCTTTCTCTCTGTCTCTCTCTCTGGCAAGCGTACATGCCCTATAGCAGAAACCTCTCCAAAAACAAACCCCCAAAAACAAAACAAACAAACAAATAAAACCCATTAGTACTCTAAGCCTAAAAGCTGAAATTAAATTCTTTGCCTCAGAGACAAGGTTGAAGAGGATGGAATCTCTAAATTACAAAAAAATAACAATCAGTACTGTAATAACATAACAACTTTCTCTTTAGCCAGAATTTCAATTAAAATCGTTTTCAAACACAAAGTTTAAAATTAGCTGGAAAAAAACTTATGGGAATGAATTTCAAAACTTATGGGAATGAATTTCAATAGTCCAAAATAGTTTGATTGATTTAAAAGCTATTTTAAAGATATTAACAGCTTACAATAAAAATGCTTTAAAAATAATTTAATTTTTTTTTTTTGAGAGGTTTTTGCTATAGGGTGCGTGCGCTCACCAGAAAGACAGAGAGAGACAGATAGAAAGTGAGAAATCCCCCCTCCAGGGGTGATAGCCATGCTGCAAATCCTTCTCCTCCATTCTCCTCTCAGGATCTTGGGCACGCATGCACATGCACCTGGTATGAGTTTAAGCCACCGGGTCGGGGACTTGACCACAGTTGGCTACATGGGAGTTCAGCGACATAGCCATTACGCTAACTGCTGGTCCCTGGTTAAATGTTATTTATTGGGACCAACAATGGTTACATCACTGGACTCCCACGTAGTTGACCATGGTTCGAGTTCCCAGACCTGTCGGCTTAAAACTCAAGCTGGGCGTGTGTATATGCATCCCAAAATCCTGAGAGAGGAATGGAGGAGAAGGGATTGAGGCATGGCCATCCTCTTAGGGAACTGATTTCTTCCTTTCTGTCTTTCTATATCTCTCTGTCTCTCCAGCAAGCACATGTGCACTATGACAAACATGTCTAAAAATAATAATAATAATTTTTTATATGCTATAGGGTATGTGATGTCAGCAGAGAGAGAGACGGAGAATTTGAAATGAGAAAGTAAGTTACGAGGTACACAATTCAAATCGTGGCCGGCCATGTGGGAATCCAGCACCTTAACCACCACGGCACCTGCTGGCCCCTAAAATGAAGATGATTAGTATGTCAAGATGAATTGTCAAGTTAGACTCAAAACCCCAAATCTGTCAGGTACCTGTTACATATGATGCATTAATATCTTTTATACATATTGGAATGGCACTAGTTATGTGTCATTCTTAGATTAACTGAAATAATAGTCACTGGAATAATTTTTTGAACTGCATGGTTCAGATGAGGAAGCAGAGATAACTTGCTGCAGGTGATAGGAGTATTATAGATTGTCTTGATTTATAGCATTATGTGAAAAAGATTTTAAAAAATTAAGCATAATTATTTATTGAAAATACGAGCTTTTCCAGAAATCTGACGCTCAGAGTAGACCCCTGCCTTCCTCGGAGAGACAAACTGCTCTAGGCTATGGAGCACGGCTAGAGCACATAAGAAAACACTTGGAGCCATGGGCAGGGTATTAGTAAATCACCTTCTCAAAGCTGGCTGAGACTGGGCACGGATCATGGTGTAGGGGCCCAACAGGGGGTGCCTGTCTGTCTCTCTCTCATAGAAGGAATGAGTAAATAAACTTTACCAAATCCTGGAAGGTTAAGTGACTATGTGTAACATTCTTAATTTACAAAGAAGGATGTAAGAATCTTTTTACTGCTTACCTACTTAGCCTTAAAATAATTAAAAAAAAAAATAAACACGAGGACAAAAATCTGTTCTGAAAGAGAAAATTCTTTAAATGAGACACCAAATGAAACTGAATGAAATAACTAGTTAACTTTCTCATGGTAACCCAAAGAACACCCATGGACAGTGAAAACTACACATAAACTAGAGAATAATTATAACTAAAGTATGTATGATGAGAAAAAGCCAAATACTATGTACTTGAGAGCAGTAATTTTTTACTTTTACTTTCCCTGGCATACTGGATTCATTAAGTGTAACACTTTTTCTCTCCCTTCATTCATGATAAAGTGTGTGCATGCACCCATATGAATGAGGGAGAGAGGATCACTCTCCACCGGGTCTGGTCACACCACCAGCTCCTTCTTCCAGTCCTTCAGCTCCTCAAATTTTGGACACTCAGCCATGCGCCCAGTGCATTCCAAACCAACCAGGGCAAGGTGTTGGAAATGTGGTCACCATGAGACCTGGCTTCGCTCGAGCAGTGACACCACTGATGCATCAGGGAGCTGGCCTAAGTGTAACCAACTTTAACTGGAAAAACATGATTTTTCTTTTGTAAAGCTATTCTTTTAGATTATATTTTAGACTGAGGTTGATATTTGCACAAAGGCAACTTAGGGTATTAGTAAAAAGGTATTTCAGGGGACAAATGTGTCTTCATTTCATAATCAGAAAATATTCATACAATGCTATTTTTATTTTAAACAGAAACAGAAGGAGGAAAATGTCTTCCTTTGTAGTTAAGTACTGGATTGCTCAAGGACTAAGCCTATTATTATTAATATAAAAAAAATACTCGTCTAGAAGATTCAGAAAATAAATACAAGCTTAGGAAGTAAAAACAAACCCCTTTCTTGATCTCCTATCCCTTTCCAGGATGGTCTCAATTTCCTGCTCCCCTTTGTAGAAGCTATCTGTATTTCCTTACCTCTCATTCTGAAATCGACTCCACTCAGAAGCCATTCTTGTCAAGGTGACCAGTGACTTATCTTGCCAATTTCCCTAGTCAATTCCCTATAATTATTCTAGTTCTCTTTTACATTTGATATTGATATATTTAGCACTTCTCCTTTCCTTGACAGACTCGGCCTACTTGGCTTTAGTATACTATACTTTGCTTGCCATCCCCCATCTCCCCAAGCTGACGCCCCCTCTGTAGTTACCTTTGATGGGCCATCCTTTTTCTAAAACTAACTTAATAAAACCTCCAAATACAAGAATGCTATTATTGCAGGTGGCATGGTGGTTAAGGTGGTAGGATCCCACATGGCTGACTGCATGGGTCAAGTCACAGACTCAGTGGCGTGAAAAATACGTCAAACACAGGTGTGTGCATGCCCATAATCCCAGAAGGAGAAATGGAGAAGGGACTGAGGTGTGACCATGACCTCCATGGGAGATGCTTTCCTACACATAGTCTTTCTCTCCCTGCGAGTGTACATGCTCTCTAGAGGGAAAAGAAACAACAAAAAAAAGAGAATGCTCTTATTTATTTACATTCTTTCTTTAGGCAACCTCAATTAGTAACATGGCTTGAAATACAAATATGCTAACTCTTCATTTCTGTATTGAGATTTGACCTTACCCCCACTGAGCTCCAGATCCATACATTAAACAACCTACCTGACATCTCTATAAGGACTAGACATGTCTAAATCAGAATTCTTGGTTTTCCAAACTCAGCCGCCTTTCACAAACACCTCACCACCCACAAAAGGCTGCTCTTCTAGTCTTCTTTACCTTGGCAACAGTGTCACCATCTAACTAGCTGCTGAATCCAAATAACTTGGCATCACATTTGACTACATCTTGCATTTCCTCATTCCCACATCCAGCCACATACTTAACCAATTCAATCAGCCCATGATCTTACACCACCATTCTTCAAATGCTTCCCCTTTTTGGAGTTAAAAATACCAAGGACTTAGGCCAGCAGGTAGTGTAGCAGTTAAAAGTATTAGACTCCCACATGGCTGACCATGGTTTGAGTCCTGAACCTGGCAGCTTGCTTTCTCACTTTCTCTCTCTCTCTGAGGGTGCATGTACCTTATAGCAAATTTAAAAAGTAATATTAAGTAAAATATTTTTAAAAAAAAATTAAGCGCTTTTAAAACCACCATGAATTATTAACTTCATTTCATAATAAATTCCTTTTTATGTTAAATCAAAGTTTCTCTATTTGTGGAAAGATTAATATTTTTTTCCAGTTGAGTTGTTAAAAATCTTTTTTTTGGGGGGGAAAGAGGTTTTTGCTATAGGGTGTGTGCGCTTGCCAGAAAGAGAGACAGAAAGCAAGAAATCACTCCCCAGGGGGAATGGCCATGCCGCAATCCTTTCTCCTCCATTCTCCTCTTGGGATCTTGGGCATGCACGTACATGCGCCCGGCATGAGTTTAAGCCACTGGGCCCGGGACTCAAACCGCGGTTGACTACATGGGAGTTCAGTTACGCTAACTGCTGGTCCCAGGTTGATAAAATTCTTATTTTATATTAAAAGAGCCTTCTCAGAGAAATAGTTCTCACCTATCGATATTCCACTAGAAAGAGTAGAACTTTCAGCCTGGCCTCGAGATGGCGCATGAGGCTCCATGACGCTGTCATCTAACAGATGTCTTGGCCCTGCATTTGGGAACGTTGCGCTCTTAAATTCTGCTGTGTTCATTTTATGAATGAAACTAGAAACAAAGAGAAATATTTTCATATCTTTATTATTGTTACTAATTCAAGATATAAAAGATATTCTTATATAAAGATTCAGGATATAAAGACTTACAAACTACCCTGAACTTCTAAACTATCAAAATAATAAGCACAGATTTTATTATGGTAGCTTCAAACTAACACTTTAGGGAAAATTTTTTTCAAGAAACCTGGCCATGTCTACCTACATAATTAGAGCATATATAATAATCATGAGCCTTGGGTATATTAAATATTCACTTTGGGAGACTAGTTACCACATTTTCATAAAAATTTTGGAAAGGTGAACACAGGCCTCCTTTTGTAGAGAACGATATTACAAACTGATAGAATTAAACAAAAAATTAGTTATCCTTTCTTAATATTTACAAATAATGAAAATAATTTTTATAAACCTTAATTTATGACTTATTTTGGTTAAAAAAAACCTGCCTTGATATAATGGTTATAATTAAAAAAAAAAAATGGCATATTGCTCTCCTGATCCATGAAGGCGCTCTATAATGTTCATGGTACCTCTCCCAAGTTTGAAAAGCTTATTTTCTAATTCAAGTTAAGGAAGAAATAAAGCTTTTAGGCAAATAAGATGTTTTACTAAATCATAAAACTTACAAAAAAATACAAACAAAAAATGTATGCAAGGATACTATTTTCTATTTAACTAATAAAGAGAAGATAAACTCAAGTACAAACAAACTAAAAAACTGAAAGATAAAATAAGAAATGCTGACTTATAACCCAAGCTATGGCACTTCCTATGTCCATGCGGAATCAGGTTCCGAGGGGAAGGGGGCGTCTGTGGCAGCAAGGCTCCTTCAGCTGCCAAACTTTTTCTTCCACTTTGCGGCGATGCGCCTACCTCAGGACCTAAGGGTTGAATTGGGTGGGGGGAAAAGAAAGGGAATTTTCAAAAGCTTTCAAAATAATATTTTATTTTTAATCTCCTGATATATAATGTGGTTTAATTTTTAAAATATTAATGCCAGTTCTATTTAATTTACTTGAATATAATAAATGCTTATTTTCTAAGTTCTAAAACACAAAATCCTGAACCACATACAATTAACTTCTATCTATCTTACTTACCCTGTCTAGTTGGTCTAAATATTTTCCTCATATTCATAAGAAGAAACAGAATTTTTATAGTAAGAGATTGGCCCAGGATCTCTCATCAGAGACAGAATCTGGACACTCAGGTCATCTGAGTCCTAGATTCAGTATCTTTTAATTTTATACACTGCTCCTTTATTCCCAGCTTCAGTTTCTTTTTTGCTAAAGAACAGGTACGGGTAGGTCAAGCTTTCACATTGGAAATTAAATCTACATCGACATTGTTCAAACTTTTATGGAAATAAAAATAGAATTCAAGAGTACATAGATATGCGAAAATTTAAAAAATCACATGTGAAAGATATAGACTGAAATAGTTTTCTCTGCTTGGAATTTTCCTTCCCCTAGATCTTATCGTGGCTTCTTCTCTCACTTTTCCACATGGGATAAGATGGGCTTGTAACTATTTGGCTGTCAGGAAAGGCATGATGTGTATTTCTATGCAAAAATGTGTCATGACTTTTCTGATGACCCAATATTTTCAGAGCATAGAAGCTGAGTGCAAAGATCTGTACTGGGAATTTTTAAAAAATGGTAATACAATAATTTCTTAAAATAATAGTTAATTCTAAATTTTATTTTTTGATGATTTATGATTATTTAATACATCTACCATAATGCAACAAATAAAATGAGGGGGCTATATTTTTTCTACTTTTAGTACTTGACTCAGAATGAAATAAACTTTAAAAAAATTAAGTCATTAATACTGACTTCCATTATTTTTCAGATTAGCAGAACTTTCCACTTAAGATCACAGACACTTCTAGTATAATCAACTCTCACTGCTTAGGATAGCACATTCTTCATTAAAAAAAAAAGACTATTCATAATCATTTATCTACTATTTTCTATCTGCTGTATCTATCTTCCTTGATTAGATAGCATATTTATTTGTGTATTACTGATAAACTATAAGCAACTTTTTAATTAAAACACAAAAAAACTCAGTACACAGTTTTTAATTAAAACAAAAAAACTCAGGTCAGATTTTAATACTAAAAATGAGTTTTGCATGCAGTATACAATATGCTAAGTATTTATTTACTTTGGAGTAAATCCTTTCTTACTAGGTTTACTGATTTATTATTTGGCAAGGAGAGAAAACTATGCACTGACCTACTAAATCTTCCCTGGAAGCAGCAGAACGTGGAGTGCTTGTTCCTGGTTCTATCTTTAATGAAAGTCTGAATTGTAGAAAAGACACAACACATAAAGTGATTAACATTTGACAGTAATATTAAAGTCATATATTTTTCTCATAAAAAAGCTAAAAACACTTCTACAAAATAATCTGGGACATTCATATATTTTCAAGAGCAATTTTTTTTTTTTTGAGAGATTTTTGCTATAGGGCACATGCACTCACCAGAGACAAAACAAGAAATCACCCCCTCTGAGGGGATGGCAACACTGCAATCCCTTCTCCTCCATTCTCCTCTCAGGATTATGGGCACGTGTGCATATATGCCCAGCGTGAGTTTCAAGCCGCCAGGTCCATGATCAGCCTTGAACCATGATCAGCCACGTGGGAGTCCAACGCCTTAACTACTATGCCACTTGCTGGCTCCTGAAGAGCTATCTTTTTCTAAGACTGTTATTTCCTAAGTCTTATATTCCTTCATACAAAACTGATCTTATGGCTATTCTAAAAAATACTAGGGAAGGGATAAACATTAATAAGTTGTATCTAACCTAATGTTGACCATTATACAATTCAACATGTTTAAAGATATTTGAGGAAATGACTAAAAGGTGATATAACTTGAGCTTATATTGATACCTGACACTTAAAATTCAGGGCTTTTCATATTTATTATGAAATACGTTACAAAAATTCTAGAATCTTTGCTGGATGGGGCTATTGGTTTGACTTTCACACTAAAAATTTCAAACACACTTTTAAACTATCCACCAAACCAACTAATACAATTTACAAAAAGAAAAATTCTATACAAATTAAAAGACTGTTTGCGAAATTCCTAGTAAATTCCTATCCTAAGAAAAAGTTTATTAGTTGGCACTTTAGTTTCATCCAGGAACTTAGTTTTGAGTTCCACAGCAAGAGAGATTAGAATTCCTATCAGTGGAAGATGTTTCTAGAAACAGGATACTGAAGTAGTTGTGAAACATGCTTTACATACTACACAATGCCAAATATTACTAAGAATTTGTCTGAAAATTAATTAAGACTATTTAGCATCTATTAATTGGAATTTTTTTTTTTGAAAGATTTTCACTGTAGGGCGCGTGCGCTCGCCAGACAGACAGAGACATAGAGGCAGAAAGTGAGAACTCACCCCCCAGGGGGGATGGTCACGCCGCAATCCCTTCTCCTCCATTCTCCTCTCGGGATCTTGGGCATGCACGCACACGCGCCCGGCGTGAATTTTAAGCCACCGGGTCCGGGACACGAACCGTGGTCGACTACGTGGGAGTCCAGCGACATAGCCATTACGCTAACTGCTGGTTCCCTATTAATTGGAATTTTTGATGAAACTATATAAGGGCACATTCATAACGATAAACCTATCGTAAGTTCTTTGTTATTTCTTTGGCTACCTAGTAGGGATTAACTATGATTATATTCTAATTATCTGACATATTGAATAGATATATGATTAATCAGAACCCTGTTTTTTTTTTTTTTTTTTTTTTTTTTTTACAGAAGAATTTAATGATTTAGGCTAGAGACTATGTTGCATTCACTCATTTGACAAATAATTATTGAACACCTGTTTGTGCTGGGCACTGTGCTCAGCCCTGGAATTTAAGAGACTATCCCTGCCCTTTGAAGCTCATAGACCAGTAGGTGAAACACAAAGACGTAAGCAAAATAACTATAGTTTCCTATCACAGCATCAACAGAAAGGAAAAGCAAGGAACACAAGGGAGCATATGGGGTGAACCACACTGTGTGGGTAGCAGCTGACACGTGGCAGCAGTATGAAAGAAAAGCTACTTCTCCATGCTCCCTTATGACAGCCAACATCCAATGACTTGACGTTCTCCTCAAAACAGTTTCCCTCTCTATTCTTTTGGTCCTTCTATGCCTGGAATGCTCTTCCTTTCCTTACCCTTCCTGTGGGGCTAACTGCTACTTTTCTATTAAGATTCAGCCTCAGTCTCTTCCTCCTTTTTCTCCTTTCTCTTCCCAGTTAAATCTGGGTTAAGTCTCTCTTTATCTTGCTTCCATGGATCCTGGGCATTTCTCTATGACAGTACAGTTTGAGGAATGTCTCTGTGGATGCGTCTTACATTAGGCTGAGCTTCTTGAAGGCAACAACAGTATCGTGTTTATTTTTCTGATCCCAGTAACTAGTGCAGTAGTGGCCTACAGCAAAAGCTTAACAAACACTTGCTAAGTAAGTTTATTATGAAGGCTGTTCTCCTTCTAGCTACAGATGAAAATACAAATATAATAACATTAGTTTTCCTAAAAAAAAAAAAAAAGAAGATATCTTATAATATGCCAGTTTACAGATGGTTAGAACTACATCATGGCTTCAGTGGCTAAGTTTATTTCTCAATAAAATAAAAATAAGCCTCAGTCAATAGTATATTATACTTTTACTATAGCCAGTAAACATTTACCATCTTTTATAACTGTACAAAATTCTTAGATATCACTTCTTAAAGTTAATAAACTTTAATTTTGTTTAAATCCCATAAATGAGTCATAAAATTTTTAATGACTCCTTACTCATTCTGAGTCTAAGATAACTTCTGTAACTTACTAGACAATGCATAAGATGTAAGTTCTTTGTCAGTGGGCCTGGCCCTGTGGTCTTGTGGGTAAGGGAGCTGGGATGCCATGTGGCTGCCCACAGTTTGAATCCTAGCCTCCGTGGCCTGAAAAACTTGCTTGCCTACCTAGAAATTCTGGGATGGAGAAATGAAGAAAAAAAGACTTCAGTGTGGTAATGTCCCACTTGGGGGTGTTTACTCCGTCTTTTTTTTCCTCTCTGGAGAGTGCATGTACTCTCTGGCAGTTAAAATAACTAAACTTTCACTATGACTAACTTATAAATTAAACTTAATCATAGGTATGTACAATAGATCTTCAAAATGTTCTTAGAAAATGCATATTATAAAAAAAACCCACAAATTCATTTTGGCTCAAAAAGTTTGGTTTGGTTTAAAATGAATATGTACTTTGGGCTGGCTTTGTGGCACAGTGATAATGAAGCTGGGTCCCACATGGTGACCACAGTTCGAATCTCAGGCCAAGTTGGCCTAAAACATTCATAGGAGTGCCCAAGATCTGATGGCTGGAGGACTGGCAGAGTGGGACTGTGTCGTGACCAGACCCTGTGGAGGGTGCTGCTCTCTCTAAGTGCGCACATGTGCACACTATCATGAATAAAGGAAAAACATTTTTTTTAAGAAGGAGTAATTTTTCTATTTTATAGATGATTTCATTGTTTTCTCTGTTTATTAAAAGGTAAATTCCAAAGACTAGATGCTAGGAAGAAGGAAGAAACTTCAGTTAGAACTATCAAACATCAACTCACTGAGAAATATAAAATATATTTTTGGGGATCAGCCTGGGCCTGGTGGTTTCATGAGATGGCTATCACATGGCCAACTGCATGCTTCATGTCCTGGACCCAGTGGCTGGAGAAACTCGCTGGGCATGTATGTGTGTGTTCCCAAAATCCCAAGAGAAATGGAGGATTGTGGTGTGACCACTCCCTATGGGGGTGCTTTCCCTCTCTCTGATGAGTGCATGAACCTCTTGACAAAATTAAAAAATAAAAATTAAAGCTTTTAATGAAAATTATTCAATGAAAGAACAGATGAAGTGTTTCCATACTGGCCCAAACATGTCAAGTGATTAAGAAGAAATACATAAAGTACCTTTTCTGTTTTAAGTGTACCATTGGACTGGACATTTGCATGACACAAGGTAAGTTCTGATGTTTAAATACACAGGGATGGAAGGAGGAGGGCAGGTCAAAATTATACAAACTACTTTTAAAGATCCAACCTACTTGTAATTATCGTCTTCCACAAACTTCTGTAGTTCTTCTATATACTGAACCGAGTTCAGGTATTTTTGTACATGAGGCAACATGGGAATATCTAGGTAAAAGGTGACAAATAATTATCTAACGAATCACATCTTTCCCTGAACTCTACTAACGTTAAGCTAAGAAAAATAATTTAAAGGTAAATTCAGGCCATGTGGTACCCAAATTTAAATTAACTCTAGGAAGAACATTATTGAGGTAAATTTTATTTAAGGTAAAATAGAAGGTTATTTAGAAAATTACAGTTGTTTGCTGTCTGTGTAGATATTTAAAAAAATTCCAGTTACAAAGTCTCACCTATGTGAAGTTTTCTAGAATAAAATCAGGGACTGTATAGTGACTTACATTCAAACTTCAGTTAAACCCAAAATATGCAGGCATTTTCTTCCTTCCTTCCTTCCTTCCTTCCTTCCTTCCTTCCCTCCTTCCTTTCTTTCAAAGAAATCTGGCCTTCACTTATAAATGTGGTTTCTCTCCCTCCTCAGTTACACATTTCATACAAGATTAATTTAACATGACAATATGGTATATATTAAAACAAATTGAGGAAAGGAAAGAATAAAGAGATTATTTTAACCTTCAGTAAGATTCTAATCTCACACAGATTTTTAGAAAGTTTCTAATGGTTTTCCTAAAAGTGTTGAAACACATAAGTGAAAGCCTTAAGACAAACTTTACTTGAAAAAAATCAGGTAACATAAATGCACTGCTTCACCACAGAGACAACAAACTTTATTCCCTATGAAACTGAAAGCGTCCGAACGGTTTAACTCCCCCCACTCCCTGCTTTTTAATCTCTTGGGCTTCTTTATGATCTCTTTCTATACATGCCATTCCATACAATACTCCTTGAACAAAAACTGGTTATTCATTCAGTATGTGACTCAAGAAAGCTAGGCAATTGTCAATAGGATCAAGGGTCTCAGCTACTTTCCTAACAGAAAAATTGAAGCACTATTTTTGTAATAAGCAGAGATCATATGAAATAAAGCTAACAGAAATAATTTTGTATACAATGAAGGGGTAAACCATTGTGAGGTGATAATATTAAATACTTACTGCTCTTACGTTTAGTATGCAAAGTAGCCTTGAAAGAGCAGAAGGCAAAAGATAAAAATGAAAATTTTAAATACTTAAATTCCTTAAAAGATCTTAAACACAATGGTAAACAGCAAATGGTAAAATAATTAAAAAAAAAAACCCCAAAAACCCACTGCTTTCCTGTACGTTAGAAAGGAAGTAAAAGCCTGACGCTCCCCGCTGTGAGGAGAGTGGTCATCGGCGTGTGTAAATGCAGTAGTGGAATCATGGCATGCCAATGGCTTACCATCGCCCAGTACTTACCATATTCACAGGACTGCTGTAAATCAGAAATTATTCGAAGGATGTTATTCATTAAATTTGATCTTTGCTCATTTTCTAGAATGCTGCCAGTTGAAGGGTATGCTGAATCGATGTATGTTAAATCTGACAAATAGATACCTGAAACAAAATTAGACACTGAGTGTTTTCCTACTTGTAGTTTGTAAGAGTGTGGCAAAATAAAGGGGAAAAAAGGCTTGTTTATACATATATTACAATATGAACTGTATTCAGAGTACACTGTTACACGTACACTTAAGTCTTGCCATAACATGATAGGTCAGAATTGCAAATAATACATTTCTCTGTAAATGTCTTTTTATTTTTTAAAGAGATTTTTGCTATAGGGTGTGAATGCTCACTGGAGAGACAGAGAGATAGAAAGCAAGAAAATCACCCTCCAGGGGAGACAGCCATGCTGCAATCCCTTCTCCTCTCAGGATTTCGGGCACGTAAGCAGAAGTGCTCAGTGTTGAGCTTTACGCTGCTGGATCTAGGACTCGAACTGTGGCTGACTGTGTGGTAGTCCAGTGACATAACCATTACACCATCTGCTGGTCCCTGTCAATGTCTTTTTATGATACTGTTTTCAAGTACTGTCTGAAGCTGAGTCAAATTCTAACTCATGCATGGACTAGCACAGATGGGACTTAAGGAGCCGAGTTCTTGAACTAGCTTCGCCTCTGACTACTTGTACAGCGGAGTTATTTTAGTCTCTGAACCTTAGTTTTGTTTCCTTCTTTAAGACAGGGTCTCACTATTTTGTGATCTCCCTGTATCAACCTCTGAGAAGCTGGAAACGCAAGCGTGCATCACCATGTCCGGCCTTCCTGGTGGGCTGGGAAGAGAGCCCAGGCCTCCCACGTAGCCAGGGGTTCTATCATTGTATGCCCACTGTGGCTTTACATTTACACAACCAGCTCCTATATCCCAGGTTGTATCATATCCTGAAGAAGGTAATGTAGCAGCCAGTGCCTGGCATGGGGGAGTGGTTTAATGTTGGTTTTAAATCCCCTTTCTTTGAGTTGATATCTACTATCACTTTAGTATTAACTACTGCACTTCGAAAATTGTCCTAACCTGGTAGAAATGTCTTATGTTTTAAAGATCAACTAATGGATTTCTGAAACGATTCTCATGACTACAAATTGATGGTAACTTTTAACATCCCTCAGCGTTCTCTATATCCAAAATAACACAATCCCCCAAATAACTTGTTTGTTCAAGTCCTAAACACAGAAGGTCACTCATTTAAAAATACTTCCTGAAAGTTCACCGCATACATGTAAAATCTGTAAGACAACTCCAGTTCGAGAGGGAAAAAAAATACACTTTCCTATTTTGACCTTATTACTCCACATTTGTGAACTCTCAGGGTAAATGTAACCAAAATGACATGCCCACTATTTTGTTCTTCCTCGTGTCATTTTATTCTACCTTGGATTCATCTCTGCCCATTTGAATCTTATATCTTATATATACAATTCGGTGTACAATGTTCTCTAGTTTTCTCACAGATTCTGAGAAAGGAATTTAGAAACTGTCTAGTTTAACTTTTTTTTTTTTTTTTGAGAAGCTTTTGCTATAGGGCATGTGCGATCGCCAGACAGACAGACAGATAGAGAGAGAAAGAAAGACAGAAAGCGAGAAATCACCACCCCAGGGAGGATGGCCATGCCACAATCCCTTCTCCTCCATTCTCCTCTTGGGATTCTGGGCATGCACGCATGCACCCGGCGTGAGTTTTAAGCCACTGGGTCTGGGACTTGAACCGCGGTCGACTACATGGGAGTCCAGCGATATAGCCATTATGTCAACTGCTGGTCCTTTAACCTCTTCTTCTGATAAACAAAGAACCTGAAGTCTACAGATTTTAAAAGACGTGCCTAATGCCTGCGACCTCTTAGAGTCAGATCTCAGCTTTGACTTGCAGTCTACAGTTCTTTTTAAATTAGTTTGAAAAAAACTCATATAGCTATACCATTCACTTAATGACTTTTATGACTTCACAATTTTAATTTCTGCATATTTATATTTTATCTGTTCAAGACTATAAACTCATTTTAGTTGTTCTAGCATGCACTCTAAGAAATAGAAAATCCTGTGCAATGTTTTGAAAACAAGGTGCTTAAAACAACATAAATAGTTGAGATGGTAATACTCTTATTCATCCCATTATCACTTTCCAGGTCCAGCAGATGGGAGTAGCGGTTACGTTACTGGACTCCTACATGGTTAAACCATGGTTCAAGTCCCAGACCTGGTGGCTTAAAAAATCATGCTGAGTGTGTGTGTGCCCAAAATCTTAGGAGGAGAATGGAGAAGAAGGAATTGTGGCGTGAACACCCCGCAGGGGAAGGAGTGATTTCTCACCTTCCCTCACTGTCTGCTGTTTCTCTCTCTGGCAAATGCAGACACTCTAAGGTAAAAACCCCTTCAAAACAAAACAAAAAGCAAAAAGCAAAACAAAGCAAGTCTTCTTTAAGCCACCTGTAACAAATGCTTCCCCCCCTCCTTTAGAGAACTTAAATCCCCTGCCCCTAAGACTCCACGTTGAATCTATAGCCCTTTCTGATTCCTCCAATCACAGAGGAAGAAAAATCCTTCTCTTTTTGCAGAATCTAAGCTGTGGTTTTGAATGTTACAGCTACTGCCTCCTTCCCCTGAGCCCATACTCCCATTTATTAATGCATGAAAACAAAGCCACAGCAACCTTCTCTTACATCGGGTCCCCTCGAGATTGGACCCTGTCGCTTTCCCTTCAGTGAACACCATACAGAAACACAAAAATGTACATTCATGCCATTTTTCATTGTAGTACTTTTAACGTAATATCTGATACACATATCATAGCAGGGAAAACTGTGATCGACTTTAAAATGGGCAGCAAAGGTTATTAGGTATCCTGTACCCTTTCGGCCCTTTTGAGGTATTTTATAACTTCTATTCAAGTTGTCAAAACCTGGTAGTAATACAGATTCTTGTCCATAAAATGCCAATAAACTATGTCCAGTGGCACATAACGGATTACTGCCCTGTGGTTGTTGACTAATTTTACAACCATTTGTAAAGTTATCTATTCCTGACTGCCTATATGTGTGCTACTTTGAATTCTCCCTTGAAGTGGTATAATATATTCTCAATTCCCTTATAAGGGAACTTGAAATTTATAAATTTAGCCATTAAAATCTTGAGCATGTATCCATTTTGTATTTGTATCAGAGTCATGACTTCATCTTTTCAAAAATGATCCCCTAACACATACAGTATCTGTTATCAAACGATATAACAAACATTTGTGAAATGCCAGTCAACTTGAGAACTACAACATCCCTAAGGAGAGCAAGAAGGCTCCTCAAGAAAATAGACGGTGAAAGTGTAACACAGAAAAGCTTTCAGTGCCGGGAAAAGCCGTTCCCTGCTGATGGAATCAGGGAAGGCTTCAGGGAAGAAGTCAGATTTGATCTGGGTACTAAGGGGCCAATTCTTGCCGCTCTTCTGCCTTATCACTAAATCCAGATGACGCTACTCACTCCCTTTAACGGTGCTGCCCAAAAGGATAGCCACTTGCCACATGTGACTACTAAGTAGTTTAAATGCTTCTATTCTGGGTTGAGATGTGCTTAAGTATAAAACAGGCCTCAGATTATGAAGAGTTAGTATGAAAATATAAAACATTTCATTATTTTTATATTGTGACTATTTAGAATATACTGGGGTACATGAAGTATGTGGCTTTAAATAAAGAACATTATCATCAATGTTATGAATGTGTACCATCATTCCCTGCTTCCACTCCCCTTTGCTTCAGAAGTATCCATTACTCTGAATTTTAAGATCATTCCCTTTTTTTGCCCCTCTGAAGACGTATGCCCATATCTCTGTACTTTATATTATTCACTTTGGAGCTTTGAAAAAATCGTATTTTGGGGAACCAGCAGTTAGCGTAATGGCTATGTCGCTGGACTCCCACATAGTTGACTGCGGTTCGTGTCCCGGACCCGGTGGCTTAAAACTCACGCTGGGTGCGTGTGCACCTAAGATCCCGAGAGGAGAATGGAGGAGAAGGGACTGCAGCATGACCATCCCCTCTGATGGGTGATTTCTTGCTTTCTGTCTCTATGTCTCTCTCTGTCTGTCTGGCGAGCGCACACGCCCTATAGTGAAAATCCCTCCCAAAAAAAAAACAAAAAACAAAAAAAATCTTAGAGGCCCAAAGCATTACAGCAAGGGCTTTTCCTATGTCTACTTCATATTAGTTTTGAGTCCCGGACCTGGTGCCTTGCCTTCTCACTTCCTCTCTCTCTCTTGCTCTTGCTCTTTGTGTGTGTGTGTGTCTGGTCAAATTACAATAAATGAATGAATTAATAAAATTAAATAAATAATTCTTAAAAAAAAAAATTTCAGACCCAGCCTAGGTGACATAGTCCAGTAAAGGATAATAGTGTTGGAAGCCACATGGCTCACCATGGTTTGGATTTCCTAGGTGGCTTGAGAACAGTAAATGCGAATGGGTGCCCAAGATCCTGAGGAGCTGGAAGGCTGAAGAAAGGGGACTGTGGCACGATAGGATCTTGTTAAGGTTATTTTCTCTTTACCCAAACAAATAAAATCACATTTTATGTATAGGGGACTTTAAAAAGTTTGTCGGGAAATGTAATTAAAATAAAAATATACTAAACTTTTCTGAGCAGAAGCTCCATCAAGGTCAAGATACTTTTATAAGCCATGATATCAGTCATTTAGTCCATCTGTAGAAACTTGAAGGTCCTGGGAATTTAATCATGTCAATACAATCTTTTTTAACATTATTAACTAAAGACAAATGAGCGCCCGTTAAAGATTACTTTAAGATTAGGAAACAAGAAAGTCAGGAGGAGCCTAATCAGGATTGTAAGGTGGATGCCTAATGATTTCTTACTGAAACTCACAAGACATTTTTATTGAGTGAGAGGAATGAGCAGGAACACAGTTCATGGTGGAGAAGGACTCTCCGGTGAAGACTTTCTGGGTATTTTTCCATTAAAGCTAACTTTCTCAAAATGCTCTCATAGTAAGCAGATGTTATTGTTTTCTTAGCCCTCCAGAGAGTCGACAAGCAATTTGAGCATCCCCAAAACTTGCCAGGACTTTTGTTCTTGACCGGTCTGCTTTTGCTTTGACTGGACCACGTCCACCTCTCAGGAGCCATTGTTTTAGCTGTGCTTTGCCTTTAGGATCATACTGGCAAAGCCACGTGTCATCTCTTATTACAGTTTCTTGAGGAAATGCTTCAGGGTCATGATCTCATTTGTTTAAAATCTCTAATGATGGGGCTGGCAGGCGTCAGAGTGGCTAAGGTGCTGGACTCCCACAATGGCTGACCATGGTTCAAGTCCCAGACCTGGCAGCTTGCTTTCTCACTTTCCTTCTCCTTCTCTCCCTCTCTCCGTCTGTCCATCTCTCTCTCTCTCTTTCTCTCTGTTAAAATTAAAAGGAAAAAATAAAAAGATGATGATGAATAAAATTAAATACAATAATTGTTCAAAAAAAATCTCTACAGAAAGATCTGCTCATGTTCTCTAGTTGGTCTAGGTGCAACAGTTTTGGCACCCACTGAACAAAAAGTTTGCTCAACTTTAATTTTTCAGTCTGAATTGTGTAAGCTGATCCAGCTGAGATATCTATGGTAATGGTTAATTGTCAGTCCTCTTCAATTAGGGAAAAAGAAGATTATATTTTTTTCCTTGAAAACTGATGTGGATGGTCTGCCACTGTGGGCATTTATCTTCAACATCATCTTGTTTCTTCTTAAAAATGCTGATATTTTTAGGGCCTTGGCCCTGTAAACTTTTCATAAAGTATCGAAGATTTCACTACTCTTCCACCTAACAACACTCATCATAAATGTGATGTCTGTTCTTCCTTCAATTTTAGCAGAATTCATGTTGCTTTCATAGAGCTTCTTACCAAACTCATGTGTTATCCTCCTTAGTGCCTCAAACTAGGTCTTGATTAGACATGTAACAAGTTAGTATGGGTTTGTTTTGGTAAAAAAAAAAACCCTTGAAAATCATGTATAGTTTTTTCATAATACACGTTTCATCAACTTTTTGGAGATCCCTTGTATCTATGATTAAATTATGTAACAATATTTGTAAAGAGAGAAAAGTGGTTGGTACACACCAAGCATTTTATAGGCATTTGCTAAATAAATAAAAAATGTCTATGAATGCTTTGTCTCACTATTTTGTTCCAAAGACTTACCACAGGCTGTTAAATGCAATTGTAATTCCTTAAGTTGAGAATAACCTAATACGACTATATTACAAGTGGTTTATTTACTTTATTTGGTAAGGCTTTTGAATAGTTCCTCTTCATTCCATGTTGGTATAAGAATTCTTCTACATTTCTTCCAACACACAATTACAGAATTTCTCCAGGAATACACACACATGTGCACACACGCTGTGGGGCAGAACGGGTTCTAAAGTATATTAACAGTTGACTGTACAGGACAGTGCCATACTGATTTTCAAAGGGGTATCAATTCCCCCTCCCACTGACAATACACATGTTTCTTTTTTTTTAATCTGCCAGAGGGCACATCCATTCGCCAGAGATGACGAGAGGGAGAGAGGGAGAAAAAGTACAGCCCCATAGAATCCCTTCTCTATTTCAGGATTTTGGACATGCACGCACATGTGACTTGAACTGCAAGGTCACCTAATGTGGGATCCAGCCACCTTAACTCTTGGCCTGACAACATACAAGAGTCTACTGATCTCTATTTGTGCTACCACTTAATATTACCAATCTTAATTTTTGGCAATCATGTGAGTGTAAAATGGTATCTCTGTATGTTTTAATTTTCATTTATTAGTAATGAGGTTAAGCATTTATATTTCTATTTAATATATGTGGCCCATCCCCCCAGGTTGTCTTTTTCTTACTGATTTCTAATTTCTTAATATATTATGGATAATGACCTGTCAATTACATTTTTAACCAATCACTCTTCAGTCTTCTACAGTAATCTGAACCCCTAACAAGCTAAGGCACGGATGACCTTACTGTTGTAAATCTCTGAACATCTCAGTTGGTGTGCCTCTCTCACCTCCTCTCTATAGTTTAACCATTTCCTGCTAGTTTCTTAGTTTTTTTCCTAGCGTGAACTTCCCTAGTCCTCCCTAATTCTTTCTTTTCCTCATGTTTCCTGGGAGGGTGATATTCCTCATGGTCTGTTAACAATTTTCTTTCTACATGCACTTTCTCTGTAAAATCAGAGTTCTGTAGCTTTGGCTGCCCAACAGTACTGATGACTTTTCAAACCTCTCTATAGAACCAGTTCCTGACTTTTCTTTTTTTTTTTTTGGTGAGGTTTTTGCTATAGGGTGCGTACACTTGCCAGAAAGACAGAGACAGAGAGACAGAAAGCAAGAAATCACCCCCTAGGGGGGATGGCCACGCTGCAATCCCTTCTCCTCCATTCTCCTCTCAGGATCTTGGGCACACACACACATGCACCCAGTGTGAGTTTAAGCCCCTGGGTCCGGGACTCGAACAGTGGTCGACTATGTGGGAGTCCAGTGACATAGCCATTATGCTAACTGCTGGCCCCCTAGCTTTTATTTTAAATTTCATATGCCAAACTAACCATTATTTGTCCCTGAACACTTGGCATTCCAATTCCCTACCCTGATTAGTGATATCACTCATTGCTCATGTTAGAAAGTTCATAATTCCTCAAAGTAAAAAAAGCTTAAGAAGGACTTACTACCTCGTTTTCCCAAGTTAACTATCAGTGAGTACAACAAAATCACTGAATGGTCACGGAGTATTACATAGTAGAAAGCAGAGGCTGCAAGTCAGTATCCCACCTGCCTCAGTATTCATAAAACCAGGAAGTATTACAGGAAAAATCTAAATGACTCTTTTCCTGAAACATGGGAAGATCTGGCAACACTGGCTCATAATCCTTTGTGGCCACCACGAGGTATAGCTGAGAATGTGCAGCTCCTTTTAGGTTACCACAAAGATGCCCGTTTGTCCTAACCTTCATTCCTTGATTCTCTTACTTCTGGTTTATTTCACTTTTCTGTATTACCTGTTCCACTCTCACGAGCATCTGCCTGTACCAGACCTGTGAGTTTGCAACCCCTGTAATATCTACGTATGGCACATACATTCAAACAGACAGTTAATCCTGAGCAGGAGGTATAAAATAAATAAATAATAAAATAAATAAAAGGGATGTGGTTCAACAAACAGTTGACGATAGGGCCTGTTGGGCAGAAAAAACAGAGGCCAGCCACAGTGGTGCAGCATTAGGGCAACGCCCCGTGAGGTCCTGGGTTCACATCCGAAGGTCTCCTGGTGCATTCCGAGGTACCGGACTGTGATCCTGGCTGGCTGAGGCTAGGGGGGCAGGAAGACCTTGCTGGTGGAGGGAGAAGAAGAGGTGCTGTCTTTCATTCTTTTTCTTTCCCTCTTCCTCTCATGGAAGAAACACACAAACTTGACAGAGAAATAGCAAAAGCGAAGGCACTGAGGTACGTATAGGAAGTAGAAGCCCGCAACTTTTACCCAGAAGCAGCATTCGGCAACTACTTGTGTGGCAGATGCTCCGGCATTAGATTCAAATCCCAGCTCCACTACCTGGAATTTAAGTGCTAAGCCAAGTTACTTGAGATGCCTCAGTCTGTGCTTCCTCAGCTACTGAGTTACTTGATTAACATTTCTTAATTTAAAGAAATATAATAGCGTCGGTGGTATTCAACACTTATTAATTCCCTCTCTAGCACCCTATTTTCATAGAAGACACTAGACCAGAGAGAAGTAAAGTGATTTGTCTAAGTTCCCATAGTGAGAGTCAGAGCTCCCTGGCTTCCCACACAACTCAGGGTTATGTTTTTAAACCACAACACATTAATAACGAGAGTGACCTTATTCAGACTAGAGGGGTCATTTTCTAGACTCTGAAGATGTGACATTATGTAACAACAGCGTTTAAGATGAAAAAGTATTAACTTTCTAAAATAATCGTACTTATTATTTTTGGTAATTATATATAAAAACAGTTTTATTTTAAACATTACACAGCAAGATACACCATATTACTACATCAAGTTTCTTAGATGTTTAAAATAGTCTGAAATAGTGACTTACTAAGTCAAATGCTTCAAAATTCTTCTGGGCTATACAGAGTATTCTATTTAGGTAGCTACCTCCTCTCAAAGTCTAGTTCTTGTTCTTTGTAATAAAAACCAAACTCATCAGGCTGCAACTATTTCTGAGTGAAGTTGAGTACTATTTTTTTGGTATGCGACATAAAAAAAGATCTCTGGCCAGCAGACTGAAATGTTTGTTTTATAATTGCCCGCTGAACTATGATAGTTTGTTTCCAGATGGTGCCCTTCCTTCAACCTGCACACAATCTCCCCTTGTTCAGCCATTCAACCTCCTGCTGATCCCACCACCCCCACCCCTATTTAAGGCTACAGGGAGGAAATCCTAAGGAGGAGACTTTCCCCCCAGTCGCCAGCAATTTTTTGGTGACGTAATATGTGGGCTGCACTGGAGTCTACTGAGAAGGAGAGGGAATCACTGTTCAAGGGTACTGTATATACAGGCCGGGTCAGCTGCAGCTCGTTACTGCATTTCTCCATGTGGCAGACAGCGCAGGGCCACAGTGCTTTCTCTGCTGGACTGAAGACAGCCCACAGACCAGAACTTCACCACACTACTTAAAATTACATAGGTGGCTTGTCAAATTCAATTCATTAGTACTGTAAAAAGAGAAAGAAGTTCCTTATTATAGTTTGGCTTCAACGGTCCAAAACAAAAATGCAGTTGCCATTAAAGTCACAGATGAAAAAACTTCTGCACTGATTTTTAAAATCAAGAATAAGGACAGCAAGTTTCTGGATTTACCTTTTCAGCTGATACAAGAAGGTATTTTAATATTTCTCTTACTTTTATTTAAAGTACTGTGTCTATCAAAATGTGTTATTATTTTATATTCGTAGTAGAAATTTCAAAATCTCTTACTAAATAAAACTTTGGAATATACTATACAGTCTTTCCTCTGAAAAAGGTTTTGTTTTGTAACTTTTTGTAAAAAAAAAAAAAAAAAAAAAAAAAAAAAAAAAAAAAAAAAAAAAAAAAAAAAAAAAAAAAAACCCTGGTCATTACTTTATGATGGTTAATGCATTATTTGAGGTTCAATTTGTTGACAGTGTTTATGATTAAAGATTGATACATACATCTTAGTTTCTGAAAACAAGTGCTCTAGTGACACTAGAAAGAAATTTCAAGTAACAGATTAAATGTACAAAATGTATACAGTCCAGTGATTAGAAACAAAGGCATACAACTAAGAAAATAGTTATAAACATGATTAAAAAGTTTCTCTTTCCATTGCTACAGTATATATGCTGAAGATATAGATAAGCAGATTTCTCAAAATCTAGCTACAAAACAATGCTAAGAAGATATAAAAACTGAAAGACTTTGCAACAAAACCTCAACTACAGTTTAACTAAACATCCAGCAGAAATTCTTATAAAAACAATTTTAATGTATTTCTTTCTGTAATTCAAAATTTTAAATAGTTTTTCTAGGTTTGCATGTAATAGCAATTTAACTGCAGCAACAGAAACTAAAACAGGTATAACTGGATTGCTTAGAAAAACAAAGTTATTGATATACTAAATTACAAACAAACAAACAGAAAAACCAAAACATTATAGGTTAGGATTCAGGGAAAATTATGTAAATAGTAAACATTAACAATTAAAAGTAAGAACCTAGATGATGTATTAGTTAATTACAAGACTGAACGACCAAAAATATACAGTATTTTTAGACAGGAACAATTTTGGCAACCAGTCATAAGCGATTCATTCAATATTCTATTTAGAGGCTTTGTTTAATCTTATTATAAAAATTATTAAAATGATTACTAGTTACCAACAGAAGCATAATGAACACTGAAGACACATTTGCTATGACTGGAGAATCCTTTGGTCTTTTAAAAGCAAAAGGTATTAATGGTAAGGCTCTTCAAGGAATAATGGCTAAGCAAAGTTGTTTATTTTTTCACCTTTGTTTTCATGTCTTGAAGCATTCAAAACTAACTATTGGATCTCTGTTAAACATGTTTTAAAATAAATTCGAATAAAATTTCCAATCAACGAATGTGAAATACTGCTGTATCTTTTTTTATTGTTGCTTGCTATGGAGGTGCAGGACCTCATTAAGCCTCTGCTCTTACTGATGCCGTAGGCAAGCATTTAATCCAATGCCCAAATCACACAGATAGCTATTTATCCCTTTCTTAAATATATCCAGGGGATGAGATTGTTTTCAAGTCTCTTCCCAGAACACATTTCACAATCTAGGAATCCTTTTTCTAACATATCCTCAATGCTTCATAAATTTAACTTCATTGCCTCCTGCTGTTTTCAGTGCATGACACGGCCAGTTAAATGCTCTATGAGTTTACCATCTGAAGGAAAGTAAATCTTGACTTTTATTTCTTCTTTCTACTAGCTGGCAATGCAGCAACTAGGGAGAGAAATAGAACTAATAAAATTAGCCCAAAACATAGACTTTTTTCTTCTCCCACTTCTAAAAACAACCAAGCAAAGACATAGATTTAAACCCAAGTATACTGTAGCTAATTTATAACATTCTCTTGGGACCTAGGAAAATTTTAACATATACAAAAAGGTTTTATGAGGTAACACAGATTTATGGATCTTTCACTTTTAAAACTGAACATATGTGGGAAAATATTAAATACGAGAATGTTTTTAGAAAATGTAATAGTAAATGTATTTTAAAACTCATGACGTAGCTAGTCTACTACTTTAGAAATGTGGCTCCGTGGTCTGCATTAAGTGACAACGAAGTCATTACTTCTCTAAGGAGAAGGAAATCTGTATTTACTTCAAAAACAAGCTTTTAGTTGCCTCTCTTAAATACTAATTTGGGCCAGATTCTTTTATGGGAGCCAGTGATTTATCTTATGACTTAATCTTAAAGGAACCACAAAGAGCCAAGGCAGAATACCCAAAAGGAAGCTACTTGTTTTAATTTAGATCAGCATTTTGATGGTTTTTGTTCTTCAGCAACAACACTGATGCAAAGTCACACTAATAATCTTGGATAATGTGCTGTTAATTCTATAAAAATCTGTACCTGGTATTAATACAAGCTGCTTAATCAAAATATTTTTTTTATAAAATTCTACTTGTTAAGTTTTATGATATTTTTTTACATTTTCCTTGTCTTGATAGCTTATTGCATGGAATTATTTAGATAAAGTGAATTTTATGCTCTAAGAGTTTCCATTCTATTATTAAAATGAGTATACTGTAGCACTAAGTAAGTTAAATTTGTACAAGAAATAGTATACATTTACCTAGGAGGCAGATAGCTTACATTTTATTTTACTGTCTCCAGTTTTTTATTAAGTAACAATTTTTATTAAATAAACCATTATCTAAATTCCATGAATCTGGAAATATAACAAATCTTTTTTTAAAAAAGAATTAATTTTATTTATTCATTCATTTATTTTAATTTGACGAGAGAGAGAGAGAGAGAGAGAGAGAGAGAGAGAGAGAGAGAAGGAAAGTGAGAGAAGCCGCCAGGGCTAGGACTACCATGGTTGGCCATGTGGGAGTGTTTAGCACCTTCACCACCACCCGCTGGCCCCGCAATAAAAATCATTTATCAGTTTTTGGTATAGGTAACCTTTGAATAGTAAAAGCGTTGTGTTTGCTTTTCTTTTTAAATAATATAGATGACTTGGAAGGTCTAAATGTTCTGTTGTATCAGAGGTAAGGTAGGAAAACAAACAAACAAACAAAAGTGCTCATCCGTGTGTGCTTTGGGCTATTGGTCAGCAATAGCCTTGACGTGAAGGTGGAACAACATTATGCTCCTTCCCTACCTTGATTAAGCTAGTAGAAGGAAAACAATTCTCAGGCCAGTTTGGGGAGTGTGGTGGTTAAGGTGGCTGGATACCAAATGGCCAACTGAGTGGTCTGAGTACTGGACCTGGTGGCTTGAAAAATACACTGCATGTGTTGTGTGTCCAAGATCCCAAGAGGAGAACGGAGAAGGGATTGTGGCATGGCCATCTTCCCCAGGGGTGCTTTCTCACTTTCCCTCTCTCTTCCCAGTGAGCACAAGTGTCCTATAGCAAATCATTTAAAAAAATTCACACACACACACACACACAAACACATATATAATCCACACTTCATCCCATTTTTGCTTTATTTTCATTATCTAGTCTTATTTCTTTATTTGAGAGAGTTTTGCTATAGGGCGCATGAGCTGGCTGGAAAGATATAAAGTGAAAAATCATCCCCTGGGGGGATGGCCATGCCACAATCCCTCATCCATTCTCTTCTTGGGATTTTGAGCATGGACACACAGGCACCCAGCTTGAGTTTCAAGCCACTGGGTCCGGACTCAAACTGTAGTCAACCATGTGGGAGTCCAGAGCCTTAACCATTATGCCTTCTGTTCGTCCCTATCTATGCATTTTGAAGACACCACTCAATCAAAAATAAGGAGACATGGTTTTAGAAAGTGAAAGTATTCTTCATGATTAGAGCTTCTTTACAAATAAAGAAGAGTCTCTATTTTTTTCTTTCCTTTTTTTTTAAAGAGATTTTTGCTATAGCGCGCATAGGCTTGCTAGAGACAGAGAGACAAAAAGTGAGAAATCATCCCCAGAGGGGATGGCCACAATCTCTTCTCCACCATACTCTTCTTGGGATCTTGGGCATGCATGCACACAGGCCCTATGTTTTAAGCCGCCATGTCAGGACATGTGAGTTCAGTGACATAACCATTATGCCATCTGTTGGTCCCCTGTGTGTGTGTGTGTGTGTGTGTGTGTGTGTGTGTGTGTGTGTGTGTGTTTAAGGTTTTTGCCATAGGGCGCATGCACAGTGAGAGAGAAAATAAGAAATCACACTTGAGGATGGCCATGCCACAATCCCTTCTCCTCTGTTCTCCTCCTGGGATTCTGGGCATGCACACACACGCACCCAGGTGATTTTTAAGCTCCAAGTCCTGGACTTGAACCACGGTCAGCCGTGCGGCACCTCAACCACCTCGCCTCCCGGGCCACTACACCACCTCCCCTCCCCCCCCCCCGCCCCGTTAATATCAATCGTAGGCACAAATAACTTGGGACCAGACTTCTCAAATCAAAAAAGAAGTACTGGATAGAAAAGCTGTGTCTCAGGGTATCCACTGCCATCCTTCAAAAACAGCAGAAAGGGGGACCAGCAGATGGCTTAATGGTTATGTCACTGTACTCCCACGCAGTAGACTATGGTTCAAGTCCTGGACCTGGTGGCTCAAAACTCATGCCGGGAATGTGTGAATATGTGCCCAAAATCTCGAGAGGAGAATGGAAAGAAGGGATTGTGGCATGGCCATCTCTCCCTAGGGGGTGATTTCTCACTTTCCATCTCTTTGTCTGTCTGTCTCTGGTGAGCACATGCGCCCAACAGCAAAAAACTCCCTAAAAGACAAAATGAAATACAGCAGCAGATAGGAATCAACGTTTTTAAGAAAGGGATGGAGGGTCTTTACATAGCAGCTTGTCAGGGAACTTAATAGTATGCAACACACTTAACACATCTCCTCCTCGTTCTCCTCCTCCTCCACTTTTTGGAGGAAACTAAAAAGAAAAGATGATGTTTTGGCTCAGACTAGTTCTAGTGTTTCCTGAGAAGAAATGGTAGTATGAAGAATAAGTGTTTCTCAAGTGCCACAGTAAGAACAAAACTTCAATCACACATTTGAGCATGCCTGCTGCTGCTACAGATAACTTGCTGAGAGCTGGGTGACTTGAGTTCCAGACCTGGTTCTCCTATTAGTCTGGCCTTGGTTTTCAACATGAACATGGGTACACAAAGATTCTTGAACAAGATGGTCTCTCATGGCATGTTCCATTTCCAATAGTCACACTCAATTACAGACAGCTTTCTTGGTAATGGTTATGGAACATACTTCACTAAAATATAGTTCAAGAGAATCTCTGCTAGAAGAATGAGGCTGCTGAGTTACTTATATACTTGAAACATATATATGACAGCGGGTCAGGAAGCACCATGGTAGTGACCGAATGCATTCCACCATCCCTAATCCCGTTGCCAATCCCAAAGTTAGATGAGATGCTATGAAAACCAACACACGATGCTGGTTTTAGGTTTGTCTAAAATGTTTCTTTAATTTAGCAGGTAAAAAAAACCATGATATTGAGACCAGCAGATGATGTAATGGTTATGTCACTGGACTCCCACGTGGCTGACTGTGGTTCAAGTCCCAGACCTGGTGGCTTAAAACACATATGGGGGCGGGTATGCGTACGTGCCCAAAACCTCAAGAAAAGAAGGGAACGTGGTGTGTCCATCCCCCCCAGGGGTGATTTTTCACCTTCTGTCTCTCTGGCGAGTACATGTGTTCTATAACAAAAATCTCTCTTGGAAAAAAAAAAGACATATATTATAGAGGACTAGCTTAATTTACACTGCTTGGTATAAACCTAAAACATCAACTAGTAAAGTTACCTGGTAACTGTAATACTACTTAGGAAACAATATTTTAACTAATGCCTTAAAGCACTGTATGCCATCTTCATAGTGAGCTTTTTAAAGGTAAGAAATGTGTTTTATTAGGGTCTCAGAAGACCTAGTTATACTGTCAATGTGCCTTTGAACACAACAGGCACTGACCAAAATCTGCTCCATGAACTGGGGAACAAAAAGCATCCTAATGGAGAAATGTTCACATACTGAAATGATCACCTTGTGAGCTAAATAATATGATTGAATGTATTTTAAAAATGTAAAAAAAACATAATTAATGAAAAGAAAACACATCATAATAACGTGGTTCCTGGAAGAGTTAGTTCCTGTGTGTGTTTCTGAAATCTAATCTTTAAACAAACGCCAAAGCAGTATAGTTTACTACTGAATTTAGGAAATTATAAAAAAGTTAATCCTGGCCTCATTTATTAGGATCAATAACTACTGCTTTCTCTTAAAGTTACTGACTTTAGATTAATATGAGTTCTTTTTATTTTTGTTCTTCAAAAGACATCACTGTACAACCTCATTTCAAAATGAAGAGTTTCACCTGGACCCTAGGTGTGCTATTCTTCCTACTAACGGGTCCTCAACACTGCAGAGGGGGACAGTTCAAAATAAAAAACATAACACAGAGGAGATACCCTCGTGCCACAGAGGGTAAAGAGGAAGTGAAGAAATGTTCATACACATTCCTGGTACCCGAACAAAAAATAACAGGGCCAATCTGTGTCAACACCAAAGGGCAAGATGCAGGTACCATTAAAGACATGATCACCAGGATGGACCTCGAAAACCTGAAGGACGTGCTCTCTAGGCAGAAGCGGGAGATAGACGTCCTACAGTTGGTGGTGGACGTCGATGGGAACATTGTAAACGAGGTCAAGCTGCTGAGAAAAGAAAGCCGTAACATGAACTCCCGTGTTACTCAACTCTACATGCAACTACTACATGAGATTATCCGTAAGAGGGACAATTCACTTGAACTTTCCCAGTTGGAAAATAAAATCCTCAACATTACCACAGAAATGTTGAAGATGGCAACAAGGTACAGGGAACTAGAGGTGAAATACGCTTCCTTGACTGACCTTGTCAATAACCAGTCTGTGATGATCACTTTGTTGGAAGAACAGTGCTTGAGGATATTTTCCCGACAAGACACCCATGTGTCCCCTCCTCTTGTCCAGGTGGTGCCACAACATATTCCTAACAGTCACCAGTACACCCCTGGTCTGCTGGGAGGTAATGAGATACAGAGGGATCCAGGCTATCCACGAGATTTAATGCCGCCACCTGATCTGGCAACTGCTCCCACTAAAAGCCCTTTCAAAATACCACCAGTAACTTTCATCAATGAAGGTGAGTTCTCTCTTACTATTAAAACTGCAAGTATGGGGAACCAGCAGATGGTGTGATGGCTCTGTTGCTGGAATCCCACATAGTTGACCATAGTTCGAGTCCTAGACTTGGTGGCTTAAACTCATACCAGGTGTGCATGTGCGCCCAAGATCCCGAGAGGAGAATGGAGGAGAAGGGATTGCAGCATGGCCATCCCTCCTGGGGGATGATTTCTCACTTTCTGTCTCTCTTTCTCTGTCTTTCTAGTGAGCACATGTGCCCTATAGCAAAAACATCTCAAAAAAAAAAAAAAAAAAAGAGAGAAAAAAATA